CAGCATCATTGCACAGAAACCCACTGTGTTGATACCTTGCAGACAGTAAAACACACGTTGACTACAAAGTAGAACACAAAGGTGCCATAAATCAAAAACGGATTTCAGTTTGAGTGTTATTGTTCTGTCAAAAAACATGTCATCACAAAAGGTAATGTAGTATCAAGAAGTGTTATGGTGGTGCAATGAAAGTAGTCTGATGTAATGTTGACTGATGATAGAGTGCAGAAAAACACAGGGAGGGGCGAACACACTGTGTCTCCCCGGCCCACATGCAGCAGTGAATGTGATGCAAATGGAATAAACTTAAAGGGCTGACATTTACTTTTGCACTTTGGTTTACAGTATGTGTGCTTGCCCTTTAAATCACTTGTGATCATTTTGAACATGACTCCTTTTGTCGACTCCTTTTGTCAGGTCCCACCTCCCAAAAACGTAAAATATACTCTTCCGAGGAATTAGCAGCTTTCTCACAGTCCCACTGAAAATCCAGGCCAATCTATTTTTGGAAATTACAGTGATCATATATGCTTCTCAGTCTGACATTCAGATGAGGCTGATTACGGTGCTGAATTGATGAAACTTCCTTCTCTTTAAAAAAAAAAGAAAAAGGTTTTGTGCTCACATTTGTTTCCTGTTTTCAGTTCGGCTCATTGCAGCTGTGTATCCATTTATGTCAAACCACCAGTGCATGTATCCCCACATCCCAATGTCAGGTTCCTACAGTAAACCTGTAGCAGTCTGCTTCATGACAGCCCTAAAAACTGTGTCTCGCTTCCCAGTACATTTTCACAGTTCAAGCTGATCAGCAGGTGTGTGCACTGCTTTACAAAACCCCACTTTCTCTCTTTATGTCACGTTCTCTTTCTTCCTGTATCAGATGCGTTCATCCCTCTCTCTCTTTTTCTCTCTCTCTCTCTCTCCCTCTCTTTCTGTTTCTCTATTATTGTTTCTAACTTTTCCTTCCCATTATCTCAGTCTGACTTACCAAGAAGCATCTGATGTGTGTGCTAGTGTCCTTTCTTGGTTACTTTCCCAACTTGGCCTCGCTGCCTTTGCTCTCTCTCTTTAGCTAATTTCGCTCTTCTTCTGACTTCCCCACTGTCTTTTCTGGGGTCAGATGCAGCTGCACATTATTGTTTTTGTCTTAAATGCCTCTCTTCACTTGTGTATCTCTTTGTATATGTTGTTCACCCCACAGTCCCCCCCAACCCCCACCACTAGACATGGCTGCACAACGCGGGTAAAGTAGAGGAAGGAAAGTGGAAGTTCCCCCACAGTCACTTCCTCCCCACATGAATATCGCTCTTTTTAAGCCGACCACAAAACAGCCCAACATTACCCAGAGGCCTTTGCAATGTCACCAAGCCCCCACCAACATTATAGTGTCTGTGCACAGGGTGTCAACAGCTTGGCCTCAAAAATCTACACTAGCAGCTTCATTTCCAGATAACTGCAAACAACTCCCCAACTTCATCGTTTTTTTTTTTTTTTTTGTGTTGATTAGCACAAACTGAAAAGATTTCATGGACCTTGCATTGATAACGTAACAGCCCCGCCACTGGTGGGAAGACATAGTAGTAAGAGCCACAGAGGCACAGATAACCACCCACACAGTATTCCCCATAGATTCTCAACACTACCCCTTCTACTACCTTACCTCCAATGTTTTAACAGAGACATTACACCAATCAGTCACTGAATTACATTAATCTTTTCCCAGGTTCTCACATTGCATCAAAAACAAGCAATGCAAACACTTAACAAAGCCACTGTATCTGATACCACATTCTACAGTGCCTCAACAAGCCTTACTAACTTCTAAAATATGGGTGTGTAACAGAACTGAACTGGGTGTGTGTCTCTGTGTGTGTGTGTGTGTGTGTGTGTGTGTGTGTGTGTGTGTGTGTGTGTGTGTGTGTGTGTGTGCATGCATGTCTCTGCTGTGTGTGTGAAGTTTTAAGGGCCAGTCCAAACATCCACCACTACCTGGCAGGAAAAACAGGAATAGGACTTGTCACCGGGCGATTGCACAACCTTTCTGTGGATTCACACTCGGCTGAAAAAGAGCTGGAACTGCTCCCTGCAGTGTAACTTGAACCCCAGAGGACAGGCTTCACCACTTAGACAAAAGCAACACTGACTGTAAAATGCTTCAATCCATGTTGTTATCTGTAACTTAAAGACCGTACATCATTTTTGAGAGATGTGTGCATAATAATCAGTTGGGTTGCAACTAAGGAAATTAATGCTTTTTCCACCAGTATAGAAATTATATTGATTTGACCCAGCCATATTTGTCCCCAGTATATTTTTCTCATCTGGGTTTACTCTTGAGATGCTGTGTACTGGATGAATGTTCGTTACATTCATCGAGTACATGGACTCCAGTGCCCCTATGAGGTGTGTTTTGGTGTTAATCTGAGTGTGTAAAGTGTGTCTGTGCACGTAGGTGTGGATGGCAGTAGTTTCCAATGCTTTTGACACTTCTAGACAGCTCTTATTGTCTAAGAAGACCTGCAGAAGAAGAGGCATGGACAGTAGGATCCGACAGAGGAAGTCTCATAACCAGAGACCACAAAGCTGCCATAGCTCTCTGGCCCGAGGAGAAAAAAACAGCAGCACTCGGGCTGAATTCTTTGTCCAGAGAGGCTATATCTGCATAATACTTTATTTCTTTCTAATAAAAAAAAAACCCTCCAGGTTACACAAACCTCATGTGTATAATGCAGAAAAACAAAGCGTGCAGAGTGTCAAGAGGTTCTGAACAGTTCAAAATATTACACACGTGAGTGACTTTATGTGCCTTAATAATTAGTGCATCCAGCATCCAAAAAACAACACTGCCCTAATTTTCAGACTGATGTCAAGTAGGAAAGGAGGAGCACATTCAGTCTACTGCAGATCAGATGTTAGAAATGGCGGTAATTCCAGCAGGTTCATCTTTACATAGGGTTTTTTTTTTCCAGACCTCTGACCCCAGACCCTTAACATTTTAAAATAATCAGTTAATTATTATTGTGTCAAATAATGGATCACCCTTCACTTCACACTTCAATGGTGAATCGCTTATGATTTGGCTGACCAACCAATAACATATTTTAAAAAGTTTTGGTGTATTCTGAACTGTTAAGTGCTTCATTAAGTGTTATTTCATGCAGCAAAAATGTCTTCAACAATCTTTAGCAGACGGTCCTTCGCCATTCATTAATGAGGGTGTTTAAGATCGTCTACAGTGCATCACATCCTCACCTGAATCACAAGCTGCAGTTGACACAGAGATTGTTTAATGACGTGGTGATTTAGCCCTCAGCAATATGGAAATATATTGCTCTAATAGTTGACTGTCCCCCAAAGAACAATGTCTGGTCTCCGTGCCAAGTAAACACTGACTATTAACAGTTTAGTTTTTAGTTTTGTTTAATTCTCAATTCCTGCGCATTATCAATTAAAACATTCATGTTTCTTAACTCAAGACAAAAGTTATATTAAAAAATGTTAATAATACATCAAAATGAATGCAATATCATTTTTTTTAATTTAGTTCTCAAATTCTAAATTTTTTTTTTCCACAATACGTGGAATGACTGGCTTTCTGCCAGGGGAGTACCGCAAAGTGAGGGCAGGTGTATCACTCCCGTGTTTAAAGTATGAGTCAAACAGAGATATGTTCTAGATGGGAACAAACAATCAACTGACAGGCAGGTAAATAGAAGAATTTGAAGATGAAAAGATACAGTTTGGGGTCTGTTCAGGCTTTACACTTCTCAGTTTTGCTACCGCCTTCAGGCAGCTTTGATTTTTTATGTTTGCTCTGTGAATGTGTGTGAGTGTGTGTGCTTTACACAGATTAAAGAAGTAAGGGGGTGAAGAAGGCTGCTCTGACATTTAGAGGCTTCAACAGGCTCCAGCGCCCACCTGTTCATAGACAAAGACTGGAAAGGAACAAACACCAGTCATTACATTGCAAACTACAGCAAAGCACTTAGGCTGTACAGTATGGTGTAGACGGTCTGGATGCACTCGACTTTTTAAAAAATAATTCCTGTTGTAGAGAGAGATTTTACCAATGGAACAAGGAGTTTCACCAAAAGCAAGGACTCACTTGTACTACAACTAAAGCCGCCAATTTCTGACATTTTGTTTTATTAATTTATTTTAATTTTCAGACAATAAATTACATATTAGTCATTGTTTGCATAAAGTGCTTATAATGAAAAAATCTTTTCTCTAAGCACATAATATCTGTGATTCATTAGGCTAAATATATAAATAAATGAATAAGTGTTTAGAAAGTGAAATCTAATTGAATGGCTCCGTTCTGTCAGCAGTAGGACACATGACTGATTGTTATCCTACCTTAAATAAAATGAACACCAGCTTGCTCTATCAGCAAAACTGTCTGCGTGACTCTAGTGCTTCAAAATCAGGGCTTAATGGTTTCACTCTAATCATCTTTCCACAATTCATGTCCAGGAAATTGACCCATTAAGGTTTAAATGGAAATGTTGGCCTAAAATAGACTTCACACATTGTATGTTTTTTATGATATTGTACAAAGCAGCTGGTGAATTTGAACAAGTCTGCCTTTAAGCTGAACAGCAAAAAGACAGACTGTGGTCTAGTAAATTACACTATAAAGTTGAATATAAGATGACAGGGGCTGGGCTAATAAGAACACATTTTCTAAAATATTTCAATAAAATAATTCGTTCATTCAAATAAAACACACTAGGACCAAATTTCTGTCACTATTTCAGCAAGATGATCTCATTCATTCCTGATCCTCGTCTGTGTCTGTCGATTTTGACTTTACTGTGCAAAACCACTGGAATAACATAATTTAAATTCTACTATGACTGGATTTCCCCTTTGTGTTCATGGTCAAAGTAACAAGAGTTCAAATCTAAACAGTGGCAGAGAAGTGACTTCTCCAGACATGTTCAAACCTTTTTCAGTTTCATGACCTTGCATGTTTTTCACAAGACTCAAGCAATGTATTTTGTTCTCACAATAAAATCTTTTAATTGCATGTAAGATACAGTTTGCATGTTTTGAAGAAAAGTATATAACAATATGTCTGACTTCCTGTTTCAAAGTTCACAAAACAGCCAAGGAGACAAAATCATTTCTTTAATAGAGAGAAACCCATGCCTTAAAAATATACATTGTATTCTTCACAGCAGTGTGTCTTCATGTAATGTCACTGATGTCAAAAACAGGGCTGAACAATCCTCCAACTTCCTTTACCACATTCAGTGTTGGACTGATTAAAGTCATGAGAAATTACTTTTTTGATAAATAAATCACATATTTTAGGACGCAAAAATACACAACCTATGCAAATACCTGAGAGCCCTCACATCAGAAAGTTGTTATCAATGTCAGAGATGATCAATCGGCACAAATTTCAGGATAATTTCAATATTCAGTGCCAAAATATACACCTTTCATATATTATTTCTTAAAAAATACAATTCACCTGAACCCAGTCTTTTACATTTTTGTAAACATTTTTAAACTTAAAAAACACACAAAAGTTCACAAAACTAGTTGCATTAACATTTCAGCAGAAAAATAGACATTTAGCACACGCATTTTCAAAATTTACAAAAAACATTCCCGAAATCTGAATCAATAGCAATGATTTTGCTTTTCAAGTAAACTCCTCACTCACAAGGAGGGCTGACAGAAGACCATTTTTTCTTATTTTTTTGTTCATATGGCTGCTTCATTTGAAGAATTTGTGTACAAGTAAGGCTGTCCTTATTATAACATTACTATGAGAACAAGATAAAAATATGTCTGTAAACTGGAGAACAAATGAAAACTAAGGAAATAACAATTAATTTGAAAATCCTGCCATATATTATGCCCAGTTTAATTTAATGTAGCTCTGGCCTATCTATACTATTTGTATTCATTCTAGAGGAAATTAAGAAATAAAAATCAGGGTGGGATTAACTTATATTTAATCATAAGATCATTAAAAAGATATGTTGTTTTAGAAGGACTCCTGTCTTAACAGATAAGGCTTCAGTAAATGAGTATATACAGGAATAATATAATAGAGGAATGTAGAGAGTCAATATCACAGCTGCGAGGTGTAAACAATTTCCAGTACCAATACTTTACAGACAGTAAGTTTTTATGCTAGTTGGGCACCAGTGGCGCATAAGAGAAGCAACGTGTAAACAGAGAAAAAGCTGCCTTTTGATCACAAGTAGACACCGAACATAGAAGAGTAAATCACTGAGTTTAACCTTAGAGAATAATCAACTGTTGACTGTGTGAAGACTAGTAATGCCAAACTTCTTGTAAGTACTATTACAATAAAACGAACATGTTCAGACAGGATAGCAAAACCTGTATCAAGTCTTACTTTTCCAATGTGTATCTCCAAGATTGTTCTTTCAGCGAAAATACCTATGTCAATGATTGTTTTCCACTCTATCTACACTTCAATAAAACAAGAAAAAAAAAACAATGCTCCCTATAGTGAGGGCATGGACATAAAGTGCATGGCCAACTGCACAAAGCACAGTCTTATCTGAGTCCTTTCAGAGGGAAAGACAGTCACTTTGAAAGAGCTGCAACTAACCTCATTGATCAAAGTCTGTTATTCTTCAATGTACAGTAGGTGATGGACAAGAGATTTGGAAAGTGGCTATCTCCTTCACGCCATTTACATTTTGCATACATGAACTTGTAATGTTAGAGGTTTACAGAGCTGACTTGGAATGCTGTGGTGAAGTGCCTTCAGAGTAGTACTATGTGGTAACCACACTCCTGTCACTTTTCCCCTTGCTCAAGCTGTCTCATTCTCCATCCCCTCTTTACAAGGTCATAGATGAATGTGCTGACATGGGAATGCAACGGGCAAGATTCAGAGAGAGAGGGAGTGTGAAAGACATTAGTGTGTGTGCTTGAGATGGTGTTGGTGAGGATCAGAGAATGAGGAGGCTGATTCAAAAAAGACAGGGTTGATAATACTACAGTATGAAATAAACATGACAAATGCCCACCATAAACATTAAGAATCCCCTCTATTCCCATAATGCAGTAAATTGGTGTCTGCACTACGTAACATTTAAAGATGTCAAGGACAAAGTACCTCAGAAAGAGCTTTTTGCACGTTTCCCTGTATTTGCCATGACATTCAAACAGGATGAAAGATGGCATTGAAACCAGACATGTAGCTAAGCTAGAAAACAGCACCTATAATGCAGACCCCACCTGACCCCATACCAAAAGCACTGGAGAAAAGCACACAACTTATACTATATACACAAACAGCCATCCAGCCTAAATCACAAAGTGGATTTGATCAAAAAAAAAGTTGGGCCTATAGAATAAAGTGAGGTACATAAAAGAAGAGCATTACCACATACTTAGGCTCCTTTAACCCTTTGGTATTGATTGCAATAAAGCATCATACTCCAGCCAGGTAGGTGAATGTTACCAACAAAAAAAAAACAGTTACCAACCTATGCCATGTTATGTTGGCAATGTGTACGTCTGCTATTTTCAAACAAACTATAACAAAGTTTAGGAATCTATGTGCTCAAACTGCAAGCAACACAACCTATGAGCCAGCAGGACCTAATCATTTTTCTATATGAGAAACCAGGGCAACAAATGAATGGCCAGTTATTTGTGTGGCTAATGCATTACCTTGGCAGCATAGAATAAAAAGATTGCCACGAACTAAGTTCATAGGGCTGAAAGGAACCATTAAGTTACACTTTGTGTACTTCCTTGCTTTCCTTTTATTGTGATTTTGCTTCATGATCAGTAGTTCTAAGGCAAACTGAATAAAGGGCTGATTACTGCAGAGTCCCAATAAAAGCAGCAATGCAGTTTCATGAGATAGAAACAAAAAAGATTTTTGAATGTATATCAGAAGAGCATGTTATTTTATCATTTTATTTTATAATTAGATTTTTTTTCTTCTTCTTTTAATTGATTTACAAATGATAAAATCTGCATGTGGATGGGTTTCATTTGTGGTGTAAAACTAAAACTAAAAATGTGAAATTGCTTTTCCTTATAAATGTTCTAAAATACGGTGTATGAGTCAGTGTTTTCAGTCAGTGTTTTTATCAGCCAGCTATGTAGCCATTTCAACTTGACCCACTTCACGAATTAAGTATTAAAAGTCCAGTGTGTAGGATTTAGTGGTATCTAGCGGCGTACTTGCAAATTGCACCTCCCTCGCCTCACCCTCTACTCCATGGAAGGCGACCCGCGGTGTCTGTACATAAAAACGGTTCATTCTAAGGGAACAAAAACACAACAATTCCTATATTCAGGTGATTATACACTACTATAAACATAGCTACGTATATTATATTCAATTTCTGACTATAGATCCTCCTTAATGTCACACACTGGACCTTTAATATAAAGAAGAACTATTTTAAATGCAATGTATAAATGTAACATTTATTTGTTAGTATATACTTGTGGATATGATGCATTTATGATTAACATAATTTCTGTACAAACTGTGGTATAGATCTGTGGATCTAGCTTTTATTTGTGTTTACTCACACATTAATTTGCAACTTGTATTACCACTTCTCTTTCTAGATTACATTCAAAGGTTCCAAGTTCCCATAACTTATATATATATATATATATATATATATATATATATATGTATTTGTTGTTGTAGGCTATCGATTATTGCAATGGGAAAGTCTAATGCGATTTCTAATAGTTTATTTTGAATGACTATAATCTTGGTAATTATCTATGTTTGCCAAGTAATTAAAAAATATGCAGTTATACAAGGCAATACTAAAGGACAAAATCATGAAGATGATAGCACAACTGTTCAAATTACTACTGTCAATCAAGCTCAAATGGACACCAAGTTGCTTGCAGCTAGAACACACAGCCAGATGACCTATGCCCATGAAAGAATCCATAAATAGCAGTATGTATTTTTTTTAATTTAATTAAAGGTGACCTGAAGTCTTTTCCACTGATGACCAGTGTTAATCGTGACTTTTTTTTTTTTACTTTTTTTTTTATTTGATCCAGTGCATTGAGCCCACGAGACAGAAACATGTTCTAATATTTCAACACTGTATTCAAGAGTGAATACATTTTTCTGGAACAAAAGCATGATGACAGGACAAGCGCAAAAGGAGACTAAAATGAAAAACTAGTCAAAGTCGTCTGACAGCTGCTCTTTTACACAATTCATGAACATTTTGAGAGAAAAAAAAAACAAAAAAACACTTACCTTCCTTCCTCTACATTAATCTTAATTATGTAGAAAATGTGTCTTTGGCCCATACCTTCATATGATTGTTCAACTGTTCACAATAAGTAGCTTAAAAAGGAGTCTATGCTATGATTGTGCTACACTTGTCTACAGTGCCATTCAACTGTGCAGTCTCAAAGGTCTGGGGATAAGGACGGATATCAGACTATTGCTCCTTTTCCCTTCTTCTTCTTCCCTTAATTCCTACCCATCCTCCTAATGGAAGGTGTGTTCACCACGGACTATGTGAGAGGAGAACTCATAGCGGTCTTTGCTGCGGTGACCACAAATGTTGCACTCCAGTGGATCTCTGTATCCGTGGCAACCCATGTGGATGGTGTACATGACATGGTCCAGAAAGAGCACCCGACAGTGCTCACATTGGAAGGCCCGCAACTCCTGGCCCTCTCGTCCGAACACACGCACCCCTTCCTGGGTCACAGGCCTCTCTGTGGTCACTCGCATTATCCCAGTCCCCATTCCTGCCCCACTTCTGGGCGAAGCTTCTGTTACCCGTTCACCTGAGTAGACCACTGCTGGACTGGCTCGAGACCTGAGGCCGGGAGGGGGGTTGCTCCCATGGTAGCCCTGCCTTTCTTGAGGGCTGCTGCGAGCTGAGTCAGCCGAGTCAACTCCACTGTTGGTGGGAGATTCCTCATGACCTTTCTGGGGTGGCTTGCCATGCCTGGTTAAAGCAGTGGGGCCATTTGTGGTGGGATGGTTGGGGAAGTCATGAGGCTGAGGTGGCAGCGTGTCCCCATTTCCTGGACGCTCTGTTCGTTGGCCCATTGGCAGGACATGGTGGTAGAGGGGGTTGACCATGGGCACCACCTCGGCCATGGAGAGAGGGGGACCTGGATGGTGGAGCATGGGCCGAAGGGTGTCCGATCCCAGGTATGTGATGGCATTGCTGATGGCCTGGTCCATCATGTGGGCCGGCATCAGTTCAGCCTGCTTCTCATACTTAAGGCCCATCTCATAGCCTATGTCAGGATAGTTGTAGCGTAACATCTTTTCACCTGCATGAAACATAGTAGCACTATGACTGTGACATTAATTGATTTAGCAAGATGACTGCAATATTGAAATAATAAAAATAGATGCAATAGCAAGAGGGCTTTTAGTTACGAACGAGAGAGAAAAACAATATGCACAAATATGAGCATGGCTTGACTTCACAAATGTTCCTTTCTAGCCCGTCAAACTTATATCTTGCTGATATTTCAAGACTTGTTTTTCATATTTTGTACTTGATGTTCTGTGTGAACGTGTCTAATGGGGTGGAAAGCCCCATCCATCTACTGCACTGTTTAACCCCTCCAGAACAGGGATGCGGTGAGCTGTTTTCTCTCGATAAGAGCAATGGCAAATTTACAGGTGTACCTAACCACAGAGTGAAAAACATTTCCTTGCCTCACAGGCAACCGCTTGCTCTCGTTTGCTCAAACTCTTTTTCTAATAGTGTGGCAAATAAAACCAAATTCAGAAAAAAAAATCTGTGCTTACAAGAAGGGCAGGGCCATTGTGTGATAGTATATAATATTGTATGATGCAACACTGAAAACAAAGTGAAAACGCACACTAAGCAAGCACAAAACAATTAATTATGTTAATAACTTATTTCCATTATATTAGCAAAAAATTCATATCAGTAGCAAAGTGTGTTACATGATAACAATTTAACTAATGTATTCTAAGACTCCGCAGAGCAACTGTTAAGTCCAAATTAGTGTCTGCTTGAACAAGTAATGCAATTATTTCCCACGGATAACACAAATTTACATTTGTTCATGTTGCATGAGTTGGACTCAAGTTGAGGTAAAAACCATAATCATCATAATGCAATTTGCATGGTAGTCTAACAGCACACAACACAACAGAGCCAATCATTTTCAACCACCACCTCAACTTCAGACTTACAGATATCAAATGGAGAAGTTGTAATCAGATTAAATTATACTGTACACAGACACTCCACGCTGACTACAGTAGAGCAAGTTGTTGACTGCCTGGCTATGTTTGAAATACCCACCCACAAATTTCTGGGGCGTGGTGCTCTTTCTTTTGCCCACGTTGTTGTGCAGCCTCTCAATAACGGGCGGCCGATCAAACGTAGCCATGGTGTTGGCCTCTGCCATTGGCCTCGGCTCTGCAGGAACCTCACCTTGAAAGGTTGAGAAGGGAAGGCGGTTAGAAAGGGAAAGAATACACTTGGGTTTTGAATAGAGAGACTCCTGCACACTAAAAAGTAAATGTGACATGTGAAAACAAAAAGTTAATCAGATTTTTCTCCTGTGAGATCCAACTTTTCTACTGAATTTCAGTGTGCTGTATTACTGTTTCCGTTACACATAACGCCACCTTCTTTTTCATGGTTTCAGTTTTAGTAAAACTATTTACCTGTGTAAGGGCCAGTGTTGCTGGTCGGATCCAAGCCGATACCCTGCAGGTAACTGTGGCAGCGTTCTTTGTGTTCCTCTAGAGAAGTTCGCTGTTTGTAGCTCCGACCACAGTAGTTACACTTGTGTGGTTTGCCAACTAAAAGTGAAGACATTTGAGGGAGAGAATATTAACTTCATTCACTGCTCTGCAGACAGAGAGAGTGGGTAGCCTCCTATGAGATAATACAACCTGCTGCAATGTTAAGGCAGCGCGTAATAGTAAATACTGTGAACAGTGAGTAGTACAAACAAACCAGCCTCTGAGATCATGGGTGTTCCACTACTAGTGTGAGGATTCCATACAACTGCTGCCAGACAGAAACACAAGCTGTGGGCTCTGCCTTTCAAAACGCTTTGGTCTCTGAAACATACAGCAAACTCCCACTGCTGTGAGTGAATAACGGAGTTGATCATGCATCCCATGGTGGCGGTAGGAAACAAACTCCAGTGTTAAACTGCTATGGAGGTGGTGTGTGATTCATAGTGCCATTTCTATTTTATTTAATTCCTTCCTACCAAGACGAGTGGAAAGATGAAGACATATCCTTTACATCTGTCTCAGTCAAGCTATCAGCCCATCTATCCTTCCATCCATTCAACAACATCACCTAATCAAAGTGACAATGTGTCAAAATTAAATTTGTATCCACCAGGAAGGAATTTAGTTGTGAGCTGACCAGTAATTCAAGAATTTTAGAAATACAGGACAGCCTACAGTAGATATATGCCAACAGTTATTAAGGTCACATGTGTCACCACCTTTGTACAATGGAACTAAGTGAGCTGTTCTCCATATTGAGGTTAAAGTTAAATTAAAATGTGTAAAAGATTATAATATAAAGTGAAAGTCCTACGCAGGCAGACACTGCTGAGGAAATAGGTCTGTGTCCTGTGACAGAGTATTCTCAAAACTAACGTAATGACTCATAAAGGGACTCAGTGAGTGAACTGGAGGCCACACCAGCGCAGCGATGTGACCCAGACACCATCATTAGCAATGCAATGTAGTAAGCCATTCACTGGCATAATGATGACAGCTATTACTAGAAGATGTGCTCTTGTCACTGTGAGAACAGAGAAACCAAGCACGTTTCAGTCTGAAACGTGTTTGGTTATAACGCACATACACACACATTAGAGGTAGGTGATGGTTCACACGTGAACATAAGCACTCTTTCTCCCACAGAAAAGGATGTTGCTTTTCTTTTTTTAAAGCACTAAATATGTTCAACAAGAAGGCAAGTTACTCAGAACTGAATATTTCTTTATCTGTAAATGTTACTTTTTCTTCCCTAGACTGCTTCTATGATTTGTGTGAGTGAAATAAAACTCCACTTGTTGTGGAATGATAACAGCTTTTTTACTTTATCTGTCATTCAGTACTCTTGTGGTCTATGAATGACATTGTATTGGCAGAACTCGAAACTAGGGTTCATTATCATTTTTTTCTGAGTATGAACAGATACAAAAAGCGGAGGCTAATAACAAAAGGTTTCAGTATTATTAAGTGTGGTGGGTAGGTGTGCCTGCAGGGTCATTGCAGTAATATTCATTCTGGGTAGTAAAAGAGTAACTTCTAAATGAAACGTCATCATGGAAATAAGTTTTTATTTTCTGCTTTCCAGCCTGAAAGTAAAACAGTGGAGTAAGCAGTACTCAATCAAGCTGCCTCGTTCTTAGTGGCTCACATTGACACACTCTCTCTCTCACTCTCTCACACACACACACACACACACACACACACACACACACACACACACACACACACACACACACACACACACACACACACACACACAGGCTTCATTACTATTTCATATTTATATAACCACCCACACATATAACCATACACAACCTTGTGCAGATGTTGGATGGACCTGAAAAATCCACCTTTCAGCCGCTATTCTTATTCATGTAAATGATCCACACTGTGCACTCAGACTCACTTGACTGATTGCATTTGGCTAATAAACAGGAACTTGCTTGAATTTAAATCTTCTGTCTGACAAAATGTAAAATCCTTTACCTATCTAGCATTGCCTTTCCTGCATTATCCTTCCACCAAACTGTGCCTCACTATTTCTCACTCTTGTCTTGTATTTTTCCTTGCCTGACCTCCCTTTCAATGTCGTATTTCCCTATTTTGGCTACACCTGTTCTTCCTGGCCGGGCACCAGGCCTAAGCTACCAGGTCTGCAGCACCCAGAAGTCTCTGTATGTAAAAAAAAACCTCATGACAGCAGAACTTGGCAACATCCAATTCCTCACATTTCGCGCTGAATAACCAGAGGTAGGCAGGTGTAACGTACTAGTCATGATTTTACAGGGGAAAAGGGTTGGGGGGTGTGACAAACAAATTCAACTGAACAATAAAGGAAGTGAAAGAAGGAAAAGGGTCATGGCTGATGGTGGAAGACAGATGTGGAGAAATAGATAAGAAAGTTAAAAATGCATCTGCGAAGACAGAGATGACAGACATGCAAACGCACAAAATTTTTACAAATACACACAGACGCACACCCAAACACACACGTTACCTCTACCTAAAAAGATAACTGTGTATGAGTAACCCCAGTGGGGGCATCACAGGCAGAAATGACGGTATTGTCTGACCTTGATTTCAAAGCCGCAAAAGAGGGGCGAGCACATCCTCTCTGATAGGAAAGTGGGTTACAGTTGAGAGACAAAGCCAGCACTCCCCATGTGATTCTCAACAGACATAGTTTCCTCCTCAGCGATTCAAGCAACTAAGGAACAGCATGTCCTTGGTACCTAACCACAAAGCACTCACAGGGCTGTCTATAACACTCACATAAAAAAAACACCATTATGTCTATCCAACAACAATAGGAGACAAGAATTTCACCAACCAGCATGTGTGGCTACTGTAGCTACTGTATTTTCTGATAGCACTTACATTAAAGATAAAGCTTCATAAGAAAAAAAGATCTCAGGAGAACATTTAAGAGGTATAAACCCTTCAGAATTACACTTATAACAAAGACCGGCATGGTTTAATCCTTCTGATATATATGTATACAAACATTTTTACATATTATAGACTAAGGTGATTAAACACAGCAGTGGAAGAGAGTGCGGAGATGTATCACAAGTATAATAGGAAAAAAATTAGCAGCGTCTGTCTCAAACACCTCTTAAAATACATATAGTCAAGAGCAGCATTAAAGCATTAGGGGTTGATTTTTTTCCAGATCTCTAAAGTACTTCTGATGAAAGAAATGAACTCTCTTCTGGGTAACAGGGGTGGATGAGTAAAAAGGGAAGAGAAGAGGGTGAGGAGGAGTCTTACCAGCATGAGTGCGCAAATGACCGGTGAGGGCATCGCGCCGCCGGCAGGCGTAGCTGCAGAAGGGACATTTGAAGGGTTTTTCACCAGTGTGCAGCTTGATGTGTCGCAGAAGGTTTCCCTTCTGGGTGAACGAGACACCACACTGGTTGCACTGGAACGGCCGATCACCTGATAGAGGCAGGCACAGGAAGTCAATACCACACTCATTGTGGAAGATGTTTTTAGAAAGTATCAAGAACCTTGCAGACATTTTTTTTTGTCCCCAACTGAACTCATTTACTCTTTGTTTCATAACTGTCAGGTGACTTTGTAGGAGCTTCTAAGCACTCGTAGCTGCTTTATATTTTAGAATAAAATCAAATCTATCAAATTTTTTCACACGACATGACTCCTTGAACTACCTCTCGCAGATGACTACTCATGACAGTCAAGAAACAAAACTACTATTCAACCTAATCTCTAATTACAATAATGAATAATATAACAGTTTGGAAATGGAAACATTCTTGTATCATCTCAGGTACAGTAGTTATGTATGCCAGCATTCAGAAATGAATTGGACTAAAGTAAAATAAAGTGAACTGCACTGTATGGATCTAAATAAAAATAAAAACAATAATAATAATAATCTAAATTCACTTCACTTTTACAGTTTTAAATTAAATGAAACTGCTATTACTCTAACTAAACTGAACTGAACTGAATCTAACTGAATGGACTCAAACTCAAACTAGATATAATTGAACTCGCATCTTCCCCCCCATGTGTGCATTAGTGGTAATTAAGAACTAAACCACAATTCTCACTGAAAAAGGCCTGCGTTTACTTCCACAGAAAATGCAGTATTTTCCAGATTAATGGATGGGAGCGTGCGTGGGTGGACTATAATGTGGAATGATGCTGTTCAGTACATTTCTGATTTTACAGGGACTCGTAACTACTGTCTTCTGTTCTAATGGACAATCTTTTCATCTGCAGCCAGTTGGAAAAGAGAAATATGATCCTAATGCTGTGACAACCAGAGCCGTCATGGCGTCAATTGGAACAGGTTGTGGGGGATTCCAAGGATATTTTTCCCTGATAATAATTCCAAGTCTAAGCTATTGTCTTTGAACAAAACACACACAAAAAAAAAAAACAGAAAGCACTCCACACCCACTGTCGAGGAACACAAATGATTTCTGACTCACTCTAAAGAATGGGAATGTACACACCGCCCTGATTTCATTAGATAATTTATTTTTTTAATTAATAATGAGAAAAAGATGTTCCACAAACAAGTGTGACAATTATACCAGACAGCTTCTTTAAAGCATTACAGGCTTTTAAAGGCATTTGAAAATACACTAAAAGGTACCGTTTGGTTGTCGACTTCCTGCATCAGCTGTCAAATTTGGTCCAGATAAACCATCCTGTACATTGTTTGGGCAGCCAGTCATGGATTCCTCCAATGCTACTTCTTCCTCCCCTGTTTGGCCTATTTCTTCAAGTGCTGGGCTTCTGTTGTCAGCCTCCTCCGCTGTTTCTTCCTCTTGCTTAATTGTCAGTTCTGCAAAACAAAAACAACAGCAATCCTGAGATGCACTTCTTACTTTGTCACATTCAGATAATGCAGGTTTTATGGGAGTGCCCTAAACATAATTGTACCATGAAAACGCTCTCTACAGCAACTATGTCTAGGGTGGCCTTGAGATTCAAGACTTGGTCAAGCATGAAGAGATTAAAGTGCGTGGCCTGTGTAGAACAGAGTGAAACTGTGAAGGCATTAGATGAACTGTGTTGGCTGGAGTTATAATGGGTTGATCTGCAATGGACTTAGGTTGACTTAAGTGGAATAGATGTGCGAAAAAATATATAATTAAAAAAAATGAAATTAATGGCAATGTGGATGGGGAATCCTAGTAACTTAGCAACTCAAGTCGCAGAAAACATTAGGATGGACACATTGACAAGAGAGAGGGAGAGGGAGGGAGAGACAGAGAGACAGAGAGAGACAGAGAGACAGAGAAACAGGCTGGTCTGGTTCCTGGCTGTCCCTGTGGAGAAAGGGAGTGTCAGAGGCCCTGTAGCTTACACCTGACAAGTAATGGGAGATTGGCTGGATGACAAGGGCAAAAGACTGTATAATTGTGTGTGTGTGTGTGTGTGTGTGTGTGTCAAACAATCAAACTGTCCATTTTACAAAAGCCATGCTGTTATCAGACAGAATGTATTATGTGATATTTACAGTTTCTTGTGCTTGGCTTGTTTAGCCTATTGAATTGGGCTTTTTTTATATAGCCATCTGAGACAAACTTGTCATGGTAAAACTTTGACTTTGTCTTCTCACAACAGCTATGACAAATGATTCCAAGGGGTCATACTAGGTAATGAGCCTGTAAATGGGACAATCTTACACTTAAAGTCTTGTTAATGGGTTAAAATGGATACAGGGAGTTTTAGACATAGTATGGAAACGTCTGGACACTATTCAAGCGAAACTTACTGATCCTGATGATCCTGTTTTGGGATTTACTGGGGCAGTAATCACAGTGTGAGCATATGTGGTTGTTTTACTAAAGCCTCCCATCTGACTGCATCCATCAACTTGTCCCTTCAGGCTTTGGAACTGCAACCACTTAATTCTCAGAGGCTAGTACAAAAAAATTTTGAAATTCAGGCAACATTTATAATATGGGAGAAATCTTCACAAAGCAACTGCATTCTTTAAACTGATACTGTATGTTTCCAATGCCACAGTTTGTACAGAAGAAACCCTTATCCCAATACCCACGTTGCGATTGAGCCTTATCTTCGACAGCTGTATCCTGGCAACACGGAGCAGACCTGAATGTCCTTGCTATTCAGCTCCTTGCATCTTTACATCTGTCTCTCTAGTGTGGCAGAGTGGAATGCACAGAGTGGTCCGATGAGGATACACTTTTGATACACGGTTGCAACGACAAAAGCAGCAATGAAAATCAGCAGTGCGGTAGAGCCTGCAAGTTTCCCATAATGGATTGAAAATCAGGCGGAAAGATCACAACGGACTGAGATCGGTTGCCTGAAAGCAACACATCATTATAAAGAGGACATTCTGTCACTCTAAATATCCAAACTGTCACCTTATGCAAAGGGTTCAATTCTGCTCTCTACTGTACAGTTTGTGTTTAAGAATTTGGCACTGAAACTTGATGCTTATTTTCAACGGGTGATGTGATGCAGCCCTTCTTTTGTAACAAAACCTCAAATAGCAAATGTTAGGCAACTTCCAGAATGACAACAGCTCTTTTCGGTGAAGAGTATCTCCCTGTGAAAACCATCGCCCAGCACGCCTCCCTGTATCTCTAAACTTGTGGGAAACAAGCTTCCCTTTTCTCACTTAGCTGCCTTGTCTCACTTAGTTTCCCCTTTTCTTACTTTGCTGCTTCACTGTGACATCGCAAGAGCTAATCTGAGGCATCAGGTCAATAAGACTGAAAGGAACCAAGCAACACTTCTGGCTAAGTGTAATATAGCACAACAAGTGTGATATGGTACAAGTTGCAATATGGCATTTTTATACAAAAGCTCTTATTGTGGTAACTACTGCTACTCACTTTAACAAGTGTTCATCCTTAGATATCTTATTCTGTCCCCCTCCACTCCAGAAATATGTTATTCTTCTTGTTCCTACAGTTGTATGTTTCAGCTTCACTGTGCATAATGATGTCTTCGCAGAGTTTGACACTAGAAGGATGTTTTCGTGAAATTAATGACGTGCTAATAGAAGATCTGATTTTAAGAGGTGGGTCTTCGAGCATTATCTGTGACATCACACATATTTTGACGTTTATCCTGGTCCAATATGGAACTAGAAGCCACCAGTGCACACACACTGAAAATGGACTTTACAGTGAAGACATCTTGTGTCAAGCAGGAAAACTTGGAGGACAAAATTTGCATATTAATTGATTGTGGAATTCTTAAATTATTTATTTAAAACAGTGACTAGACTGAATTTCTAAAGTGATTTAATGCAAAGGGATTTGCAGTTGCCCCTTATTTACTCACACGTGGTGGCAAGTTACCATGCAAGGCACCAGCCTAACCATCAGGAGCATCTGTTTTCTGATCTCCTAACATTTGCCTTGTTAATTTGCTGGTGCAAAGAATCCAAACATCCTCCACCTACCTTCTACCGCAAAGGCTCTAATTGCAGAAAGTGCTGATTTTCATTAAGATGAAGCAAAATACTTTGTTCAGAATGAACTGATCTGAACAACATATTGGTTTAAAGGAGAAACTGTGTGTGTGTTTGTACACTGTAGTTGTTCTTGGCATACTGTAGAAAAGTGTATCTCTTGATTGAGCACTCACCACTGGAATTAGGACCCTGAGGAACTGTCTGTCCATTAGGTGTTGACATATCCGCCAACATTCTCGAGTTCTCCTCACCGGGAGAGCATTGGCCGTTACCTGGGAGACAAACAGAAAGACAGCAATCGTCATTGTGCTGTACAATACAGTAGTTGTATAACAAATAAAATACAATGCGGTTATGTAAAAAAAGTCAAGTTTTTCTGTTTTTGATGTGTATACTATGCAATGATTAGGGCTCATGCATCCGTTTCAAAAGAAGAAGATGTTGCTGGATGAAGAGAAAAATAAAATGTGGTCAAGCAAGAAAATTCTTAACATTTCTTGTATATTCACTTTAATACAAATGAAGAGAGTAGCCTTGGGTAAGGTCATTCCTTCTAAGATTAAAAATAATTCATTTCATCCTCTCAGATCTCCTTTTAGGCCTAACCCTGAACGGTAAATATGGAGGTCACCATACTGAATGCAGACGGCAACTAAACTGTCTTTATGCACCTATGGGATCCTAATGTCCAATACGGATCAGATTGCAACCTCTCAGCAGTCTGTACAGAACCCAGGCTATGGATAGCCCTGTGTCCACTCAGAGGGAGAGCAAACCAATCCCTTATCCCCTTACACTCCGGCCCTGTCAGGGTCACTAGAACAATACAGTGGCAACAGGCAAACACCCCTGCTGACCCAGGTGTCAAATCCCTGAGGAACCACAGTGAGCCATCATTCACCACCAGCACAATTAAAGGTTTTCCTCAAGCATACTGACAACTGCGAAAAAATGGAAAGTATCTATTGTAACGCCACACTGCCTAATGCTGTTAAAGTTGATGTAGCAATAGCTGTAGCTGAGGAACGTTCAGTAAAAATCAAAGGAACGTGCTATGTGGTACATCTGAAACCGCTACAAGGAAGGCCTTGTTACAATTTGTCAGTGCTGAATATGTCTGCAATGATTCCTCATACATGAAAAGGAAATCTGTGTCAGATCTCCTCTTGCTGTGACAGCTCCTCTTAGTTTGACAACCTCTTCTGTGGTATTGTTCTATTGTAGTGGCGGGCCCAACTGAGTGGGGCATACTGGCAGACGTTGTCCATGACACAATCCCTGGGCCTGGGCTCAGGTTGCACAGGTTGGGGTTGGAGGAAATCTCAGGTGACCGACGCTGGCTATCCCTTGGCAATGCTGTCCTGGAGACAGGAGTGGCCCAGATTTGTCATGAAGGATTTTCCATGACTGTAGCAGACACTGACAGCTGCCTAGCAGCACTATGGCTAGGTTGTGTCGAGCATAAACTAATAGTTTTGGGCTGTCTGGGTTTGAATTCTAAAATAAGAACCATCCATTACAGATTTTAACTCAGTGTTATTGTCAGAATGAAAGCATGGAGACTTTTATTCAAAAGCTATCAAACGTGTGCTGATTTTATTCATGATTTATAAATAATGCTGTTAATATGGTGTCTTTTTTAATTAATGAAGAATTATTTCAAATACAGACGTTTGTCATCAAAGGTCAAGTGTCCTGGGCCCTCATGTATAAACAGTGCATACAGTGGTTTTCACTCACATGGTGGGATGTAAAAAATGTAATATGACGTGAGAATGTGCGTGCCATGGTGAAAACTCTTGTCTGGCTCGGTAACTTCAAACTTCAAAGAACGGAAACTTGCCAGATGTTTCTAACTAAAGTTTCCACTAAAGTTACTGTGATATATTAATAATTACTTAATAATTATTTCCACTGATAGCGTGATCATTTCTGTAGATGATGTTTAACATCAGAAAGACAAAAACCCAAACAGGAAGAAAATACTATTTTTCCCAACAGCAATAAATTGTCCTAAAAGTTAATGACTAAAAAAAAAATCCACGTAGGAAATAGGTACAGACACCCTCTATATCACTCCCCAGCTAATTTCCCACAAATAACGTGCCTCACCCACTGCACTAACATCAAGATCAGCAGGGAAAATGGCATTTTTCTGTGTTCACGGGACATGGAGATGTTAATGTATGTCTGAGATTGTACAGTAGCTGAGGTGCACCGACATCCATAACACGCGGGAGGTGAGGCGTGCAGATCCATCTCACCAGGAAGAAAACGCCGTGCCAGGTGGACAAATGCTCTCACTCCCAGATATGGCGTGCCTCTGCCACAGGAGCTTTGGATGGATGAACCCGACCCGGGCCCACCAAAGCTGAGTGCAACAGCTGTACAGCTAAGAGTAACATACATGTCTGAGTTGCCTACACATATGGGCAGGATGCCAGAGACGAAGGCTTCTAATGCAGCAACCCTTTCTTCACGTGACGACCGTTCTTATTCTCTGTTGCAGGCAAGGCAGCATAAGGGGCTTGTTCATGTGTTGTCAATTTCATGTTGACAGGGACGTATAGAGGAAAGGTGCACAGGACCTGACGTATGCCTGGTTTTATCCATGTGGAAATTTCTTTGCATAGGTACTTTTCAAGTTTTATGCATATGCCATCTTTCAGTATGAAATGTATACTGCATACATGAAAGTCTTGTATGCATGAGGTCCCTGGTTTTTAAGCAATTATGGACAATCAAAGGAAGAAGTCAAAGTTATATTATGTCCAACTGTCAAATACAACCACAGAGGTAGTTTACATTTCCCCACACACACACCTGTTGGAATAGGGACCTCAAACTTTTAACTAGGGAAACAATGGCCGATACATTATGAACTTGAGCAGAGTTTAAAATGTACTAAACCACACACACAAGCATGGACTAAACTGAAGGTTTTGCGTTGGTGCTCCGCATTTGCTGAGTCAATCCTGTATGAACAGTAAGATCAGGATATCAAACAGTTGAGACTTGCCAGGGGAAAGGTATTTTGAGTAATACATCAAATTGGGATAATTTAACGTGCTGACAAATGGAAAGGAACAAATGTGTACACACGGAACTAGTAGGTGTAATAAATGCTGACTTCGTCAGTGACGCCAAACGAATGCGTAGCTTCTGAAGTACAGTCATCCTCTGAGGAATGTAACAAGGGTCATTGCAATTTCTGGTCTTACAACTTGTTTATAAGAGAGTAATTATAAATGGTATTTAGGTTCAGGAACAGTATGCAATGACAATAAACCAAAAATAAATCAAGGTCATACACTATCTGCCCACTCATGACGGCAGACACGAATAAGATAACCAAAATGTCTGCATCTTAACAGACGGCACCAATGTCTAACTTTTTGAGGAACTGAATAAGATTCTTTACCGGAGTGACGAGGCCCTCCTTGCTGGCTTTCTGGATACACACTGTAGCTGTAGCTGGGAGCTGGTTTTTCCTGTCAAACCCTGAACCCTTCCTAAGACTCATATCACATAGACACACAGCACTGTCCCAGAAAACAAAAATATACAGATAGACAAATGACAGCAGTCATTTACAGACTTATAAAAACTGTAAGACATTGTATTTTACTACTAGTAGTGATATACAGTATACAACTCAGTCTAGGAGTATTGCAATAGCACAGGTGTTAACCAAACCAAACCAAACCAAACCAAACCAAACCCATAGAGTGCACTGGTGCGTTCCATTTGCAGTAATCTATATAGGTGTGTGTTGGGCTGACCCAGAGAAACCTGTTACAGTCGACCTCTGCAGAGAATGAATAATTGATAACATAAGGAAATAGAATTTCTTAAATAAGCTGAGAAAGTGAGTACTGTAAATGAGGCAATTTACAGGGTATAATTCTGATTATTTAAAATAATACTGGACCCAGCGTTTCTCCTCAGCTTTTAGCAAGGTAGTAGTTGAGCATGTGTGACTAACAACCGGAAGGTGATAAAGAGAAGTTGGAATACCCCAGTTAAACCTTTAAGCATATCAAATATTGTTTAAGGTTATCAACTTAAAAGCTCTAAATGGGACCATCAGGATTCAAGAGCGTAAAGTATACCTTGTTATGTCAGTTAGAAAAACTAGGTTTACTTACTTAGGGATTGTCTGGCAGATAGCTTAATATCTGCCAGACAAGCTTACACTTCTGAATGTCAGGACAGTTATTTTTAATTTATTTTTATTTTTTGACAATAACAGTAAAGACAGACAGGATATGCAGGGGAGAGAGGGGATGACGTGCAGCAAAGGTCTCAGGCCAGTGTGGTAAGGACTTGATACTTATACTTGGTACACATTCTACATAGTGAGTTACTGGGGCACCCACAATTATTAAATGTTAACATTCACTATTGTAATATACCTTACTGAATTTGTTTGATGTTAAATTATTTATTTCTACATCACACTTGTATATGTTCCCGTTATAGAATACTATATTGTATACTAATGTTGTTGTACTGTATAATATATCTTGTATAGTGTATGTAGTGTAGTAATTCAATGTAAACCATTTGCTGTTACTTTTTCTTATTCTTGCATTGTAAACCGTGTGCAACCTGCTTTGGCAAAACTGTACTTAATTATGGTCATACAAATAAGGCAGATTTGAATTTAAAGTTTGAGAAACCTGGGAGGACCAACCACATGGAGCAACTATGTGCAACGTGCAACCTGTGCAAATTACTGTTGTAACTCCAACATCTATTTTTATTCTTTTTTTTCATGTAGAGTCAAGATAAGTTTGTAATTACACAGTAGATGTTTGATACTTTGTTGGCCACCAATACAGGCATGGGAATGAGAAACAACTATTTTGATTAAAACAGAGGGGTGTATGTGAGTGAGCTTGAAAATGTTTAATGTCTGAAAAAGTAAGAAATTACACATTAAAGAGAAGCGTGTGTAAGTTACTATCATGATGTATCTATGAGACGATGAGCATGTGAGACAGAATGACTGTATGTGAAAGAGACTAAAGAGCATGTGAGAGAGAGGGATAAAGAGAATGATTGCATATGTGATACATTTTGATGGTGTATGTGAAAGCAACGTGCTGTGTGTGAAAAAGTAAGTATGATAACCGATGGGAGAAAGACCGACTGTGACAATGACAGCGAATGTGGTTAAGAATAATAGTGTGAGAGGAGTGTTTATGTGAAAAGGGAGGTTGGTTGATTACACAGGAAGGAAGCTTAAATTCTTAAATCATGATTATCGAACCTTTTTGAAAACAAAGCTTGTACCTACCCAGTGGCACTGCAATGCAAGGAGCATTCACATCTAGCCACAGTGCATTTAAAGACACCATGTTTTGTCAGTGCAATAACAAGCTTGCTCTGGTGTGTCAGAAATGTTTGCTTCCTTTCTTCTTTACGTGTATGTTCTATAGAACGCTGTAAGCCTATCAGGAATTGAAACCACTAATATTGTCAATCACATTCAATTATATACACCGTCAGGGTTTATGTCTCATACTACTATTCTGAGTCACAGATATCATCATCCTTTCTTACATAATAGACAAAAATACTATCTATAGATGAATTAAGAAAGTGCACACAACTCTTCTTATTCAAATATTTTCCGCCCTATGTGCGGGACGCCCAATTCCTACCCTGCTTCACTGGTGCGAGTTTGACCGCTGGATTTGTTTTTGCAGTTTTATTTATCCCAAATAGCCCATGTAACAACTCCCCAGACATAAGCTGTAAGCTAGCTAGAAACTTACTTATCGAGCATGTGTGTAGTGTGCTTGGTGTGGCTGTATGTGTGGCAGCACAGCCTCGGCTTCTGCCTGGTCTCTAAGCGTGCTAGGATCTCCAGTTCATTCTGTTAATGTCCTCCAGAACCAACTGCTATTTTTGTTTCTGTATATTTAAGAGAGGAGATATGTATGTACATATGTATATACATAGCAAGGTTGCAAACATAGAACACCTGCATCTAGACAGGAAGATAAAGTAACATGAAGCACATTATTGACTACTCCCTGATATATATTGATGGCTGAATATGAGTGAAAGAGTGAGTTTGTTGTTATTATCATTATTACATCATATTTATGTTATATATTTATATTTGTTTTATGTATAGTTACATAAACTAGAAACCTTAGTCACAGGTATGTAAAATAATCTCAAAGTCTTTTGGACAATGTTACATTCAAGATAAAAAGCCACCATGCAAGCTTAAACAACTCCCGTGGCAGAGCTACAACTTTGTAATCGAATGATAATATGAATCAGAGAGATGTTTCAACATAGTTGTAATGAACTGAAATTATTTGGTTTTGTTGGTAATCAGTTTCACGTCATGTACATTGAGCCAGTTGAACTCATGTGTCATAATAACTTGACAAGAAAGGAACCGATTTGCTGGACTATAACTTGTTGTCAGGGGAAATCGACCAAATGGTACAAATTATCACAAGCCATGCAAAGCATATTCTACTCGCCTGTTCAAATAAAAAACCTAGCAACACTGCTCATAAAGCCTTGAATAAGCACAACATTTTAACTAAGTTTGAAATGATTTCAGCTTACACACATGTTGCCACCATTTGTCCTACCAAGGTAGAATTGGACCCCACTCACATCTTAACTGTGTCTTTATGCACCTCTAAAATTTCCTTCCAGTTCAGTTTGAACAAACTTTTAAATTCTCTATCACATATAGAGAATATGTGATATATAATGTAAGGAATATACCATACCATATACTATTGTTTTTTAAACATATACTGTCATGGGTGAGTACAATATGATTATGGGAGCTTCATGAAAGAGAGACTACTACTGTGTGTACATAAGAGGATATTTGTGTCTTGTATGGTGAGTAGAAGAATATGTTGTGTGGTGGTGTATGTGCAAGATTTTGATGATGATAACAATACATACGATATTTGACCAAAATGTTCTCTCATCGTCAGCAGTCCCTTGCCAATGTATTAAGTATACAGTAAAATACATGGGAGTAATGTGGATGCAAACTGTTGCATTCCACAAACATGCATGTTCTCCGCAGATTCATGCAAACGGAACAGACCATTATTTGTTCCAAAACTTCATTGCAAAATCATTTCAGAAACGACCCACAGACGGACATGAGTCTCCATTTCTTATTCCGTCACGAACCCTACCCCGCCTGCCAAGTGTTCCTACAAGCACAAACCCCCAATGGAGACCTAAAATCTCCACTGATGTCATAAACAACATGGTACCTGTTTTCTGATCTGTACATCAAAGTGAAATACAAGGCGGGCAGGGAAGATATTCAAGAGACCTGCCCAAAGGAAACCAGCAAAGGGCAATGGAGCACCACAAAGTGCATATCCAGTATCTGCTGCATTCAACAGGATGTCACTAATGCATCGTTTTCTCTACCTTTAAGGGGTGAACAGGAAAAAGGCTGCATTAGGGGAAAATCCCTTGAAATGTTTATAGTGTGCTTGCAAAATTTTTTGTATTAGCATTGTATCAAAAAGTTGGAGGAGAAATGAAAGTCAAAATAAGTTACTAATGCTAAAGTCACAACTACATAATAACAAACAGACACAATCATTGTTATCATTATCATCATCATCGGTACAACCAAAGACAGACACAAACTCTCGATATACGGCCTTGAACTCTGTCCTTGGGTGTAAAGTATGGGTCAGTGAGTGTTAGTGTGCATTGAATGTAGTGTGCAAGCGATATAAGGACTTACTAGCACAGTAGCCATCGGGAGCCTCCATTTCAAGTGCTTTGGGAGTGCTTCAGGGAATAAAAAGAAATATTACTGTGACTTTAATATTCCTGTAACACAAAGTTTTTTTTGCATAATGCATATATTTCTTAAGTTTATTCTTAGTTTGCTTAACCAAATGTGTGTATTTCAAAAGCTGTGCAGCCTAAGCTGTCATGACAAATAGCATGCAACAATGATATGCACCTTTAGAATAAACCTTGATCGCATATTCATACAAACACCATGGACCTGTAAACAACCAATTTTTAAAAAATCATATTAATACCCAAAGGTTGTTTAGCAGCTTTAGGGGCATAGTTTCCAGTTTACAGAGGTGCATCACAATAGCGACTCTGGTCTGTGCAGTTTTGCTATTACAGAAGTAGTCCGATATATTTAAGCAACCCCATGAGCTATTTAAAATGTGTGAACAGCCGTGTTTTAGTTTCATGTTCTCTATAAAAAAAATGTTCTTGTCTAAATAGAAGTTAAATTATAGCTGGCATGGTCTCTCAAGTTTGTGCATTTTTACTTCCGTGAACTTGCACAAGTATGGTTTGTATATACGAGACCCAACTCTTATTGAGACAGAAATGATGCAATTTATTATCTAAGCCAAAGTTTTCCAATAAAAACAGGCAAAAGAAAAGATATAAATGTAACTGTTCTCTACAGTAACAGAGTAATAACTGTATTACTTCAAAATCTAGAAAAAGGGGGAAATTAAATCACTAAAGTCCGGTTACAACTTTGCTTTTCGTGCAAAACTGGTACTAGACTGACCAAGCACGAGGCATTCAACTCTGCAGAGGTTTCAACACACCTAAACTTCATACATCTAAACATTTATGGGCATGTCCATAACACAAGGCGTCTACAGCCTTCTTTAAATAAGTTGTAAGTTACTTGTTAATTGATTCTAATTTTTATGATTTTGCGTACTGATGTTTGGCTCCATCTTCATCCCTTGACCCATTGTTATCGTTGTGTAGAAGATTTGTTAAAGTCAACACACAGAGGAAGTGTGTTATGATTATCATAATTTGGAATAGTACTGCATCAGAGAGAAGTGTATAAGGGATTATTAGTATTTATTTAAATAGTCAGAGCACACAACAAATGTGTGTAACTGCTGTCTTCCTTAAAGAACATGATACTTTTTTTTCATGTCATTAAAAGAAAAAGAAAATAACTTAAGTGTCATTGCAGAAACTTTTCTTTTGATTGTGTCAAATCTACAAACCCAATGCAGAATGTCCCACATAATGCTGTAGTTTCTCTGTATTTAACTGTTTCCTAATAGTAGTTTGAGGTAGTGTATAACAAAGATAATGGTAGTCTGACTCAGAGCCAGCTGCATTTTTTTTTCTTAATGGTATGAGTTCTTAATTTAGCCTCCCTCTGTAGCTTTACGCACTCTACAGTCAGACAGTTAGAGAGCCATTTATTTTAGATTCTGGTGGCTAAAATCAAAAGTGAAACGTGAAAGCAAAACAAGAAAGTAATAAATATATAAAAACTGGATTCATATAATTACCTTCAAGCGTCTCCCCTGTGCAAAACGTGTTGGTAATTTCAGTCAAGCACGGAGGGAGGGGGTGATAAGTTGTCTCCACCTCCCTTTAAAGAAACAAAAGTCAAAATTACCTATTTCGTCCGGGGATCTCTCACAAATGTATGAAAGAGAAAACTTTTCCCAGCATGTTTCAATAACATCCCAGTGAAAGAAAGGTGAAAAACATATGAGCGAGTTCAGAAACGCTTTAGAAAAGTTTAGGAGGAGTGCGTTTACAGTGTCCTACAGGTGTCTGTTGCTGTGTCAAAGCCTCTTCTGCGCGTGTCCCGTCGAGTTTTCCACTTTAGAAACGACCCCGACACCGTCCCATCGAGCCTACGCGCACTTGATTCGAACTTGCGACATTTCACCAGAAGTCACAGAGCTAGTAGCTGAGCCGTACACGGTGCACTTTTTCGGTAGGAAGACAGGGGGGGACTCAACAAGTTGGTAAAGGAAAGAAAGAGAGGGATGGATCAAACTGGATCCACCGGTTCCTAAGGAATTAGCCATAACGGCAGGGAGCAGCCAAGCTATTTTCAACAACCAAGAGACTGGAAATCCGTGGGTTGGCAATGCTGAAAAGCTACTATGGAAATGTGCCTCAGGTCGAACCGGCACAGCCTCACGCGTTTTAGCTGCTACTGCGGCCAATGGGAATAATGTGGTGGCAAATTAAACGATGGGTGAGCTGCTACATGGCCACCATCCCTCCAAATGACAGCACAGCCAATACTATGACAACAAAACAAACAAATTGTCTCGTCAGAAATTTCAAAAAAAAAAAAAATAATTATTTCCCCTTTTTTCTCAATGTATACGCCGCCTTTCACACTACTTCCTAGTATGTCTACGAGGGGACTTTAGGTGGCCGAATTAAACATTCATGTCAGCAGCAACAAGATGGGAAAACTCTATTTTGCAGATGTACAGACAGGTTAGGCAGTGAGGACAGGATGCATTTACCTGGCAGGCAACAGTGCATCTCTAGAAATAACCATCAGCTGAAAAACCGGGAAGCCAGTTTTGTTGTTATTGTGGCAAAGCGCTGTGTTTCTCGTGTTTAGTGATTTTTTTGTTTTGTTTTTTTTTGTTTGTTTTTTTGCTGGTTGCGTTTGCCCGCATGGCTTAGAGCTGACTGACAGCTGCAATTCAACAGGTTATCCGATCACCGCAGTCTACAGCAGAGCCCGTCTGGCTTTCCATTCATCAGACAGACGCTCCTTGTCTGCCTTTGCCGCAGACATGCGCCTCCAGCAGCTCTGAAAGCGTCTGTAGCCTACTGACAGTCGAATGATATTGAATGGCTGTACATCAAAGCAGCGACAGAATGGTCAGTTAATACAGGAAACCGATTCATGCACGTGTGTTTCTGTCGCGCTCTCTCTCTCTTTTTTTTTTAATTACCTTAAACACGTAGGAGTTTATATAATGCCATGAACTTGCACATTGATCCCGGCTGAATGTCTCGGCTTGGAAACGGCTTCATTCTAGTCCGACACGCGCCATGCAGCGCGGGCTGAAAGGCAGTTTGGTTCCGCAGCGGCGGCAGCAGCAGCAGCGAAAGCAACAGTTGTTAAATCCACCACTGACTTCCTCCTCCATCTCCAGAGCAGAGCAGAGCAGCCGAGTTGCTATTCTGGGAAGTTGGTCTGACACAGAGAAACCGATCACAGAGTGTGGACCCAGTCTGCCTCTCCGCTCGGCAATCGATTAGGTTACAAAGGGGCCTATTATTCCTGAGGCTGCAGCCAGGTTAGATCCCCGTGGAGACGAAAGCATAACTGTCATACTCCTGAGGTATTTTTTTTTTTTCATAGGACGTATAAAAGGGACCATGTGCCTTTTGTTTTACACATCCTGCAGCTGCTTGATTACTAAAGTTAGGCAATATTACAGTAATTTAGCAAATCTGTTTTAAAAAAACCATTTATTTTAAATTAATTGATATTGATGATAACTGATGATATTAATTATCCACTTGCACATGCTTTCATCTAGTCCTGTCAAGAATGCAAACTGCTCTTACATTGTAAGCCAGACCAATGCTGGATTAAGGCCAAGGCCAAGATTAATTAATATTTGAGAGTTTAAACAAGCATAGGCTTTTTAACATGAATTCATAACATAAAGATTTTGTTAAGGATCCCTTCATTTTCATTTAACAGACTATAAGTAAGCTATGGACTGAAAAGCCCATCTCTAGTGGACAACCTATGTCATGGCAACACTGTTAATAGAAAAAAAATACTTTAAACATATCTTTGGCATTTCTCTAGGGCACTTTATTATTACTTTTCAGCCATTATATAATTGGAATCAGCTGGACTCTGAGTCTATAGGATGACGATAATGCTCAGCAGCGTTAGAATGGTGTGTATATAATCTTATACAGTTGAAAAAGAAGTTGCAGTAGTGATTGTGATGGTCATAAAAGGTCACTGGAAGGCCCAATTGTAATATTAGCAGAAGGCTAACAGTAGCACATTCACAAAAGTAACTTTAATACTCCAACAGCCGTTTCCTTCAGCCAGACCCATTGTGTACTTTCCTGTGCACCTCATTTCTGAGGCAGAACTGACATACAAAAAACAAAAAGAAGACATGACAAGACGACACCCTAAAAAGCATCCCTATAAGCCAACTGCAGCTGCGTAGGGCCTTAGAGCCTTTAGGGGGCCCCCAAACTCAGTTAATTTCAAAAATTAAATGTGGATTTTTTTGAACAATGTAGTGTAGGGTGTTTTTAAATGTGAAAACCAAACCAAAAAGGGGCTGCAGGCACAGTTTCACACTGACACACTGGTCCATGTGTTCCAGATTTGGTTGGCCAACGCACTGCAATTAGAAACCTCAAACACCTCAAATACAGTGCAGTTTTAGCATACACACCAACGCAGTCTACACACCTGTGGAAATAAATGGATCAATACTAAGTGGTAGTGCTGTCCTGACTTCAGTGGGGAGTTCATTCCACAAGTAAAGCCAGGGCAGAGAGAAGCATTAACAGTTCAGACTGAACTCTTTGATGGTTTAAAATGAACTCAATGTTTTTAACACAATTTTGGAAGTTGTCCCTTTTTCCTAATAGATATTCTTACATACACACAATAATATAATTGTTTCCTTTATTTGCATAAAACATTAATTAAAAGGATAAAACAATGCTTGAATGGAAATTCCTTCATTATAATGATAAGCAAAAGTCTGAGCTTGGTTGGTCCGAGGACACCATCTCAAATGTAAACATCTTTAGAGGAGTCAGCGTAGTTCATTTTTCCAATTTTAACATTTTCAAGCAGTAGTTAAGATCTGAGAGTTAACACTATAGTAAAGTATGTAATTTAAAGGTCCAGTGTGTAACATTTACGATGATCTATTGGCAGAAGGATGTGTTATTTACGTAGTTTATGTGCACTCATTTCATTTAATATCAGTCTCTTTTTCTTGGTTCTCTGTGTGGGCACACAGAGCGGACCAGAGGAGACGCAGGTGATTAATGTTGTCGGTACACCACATCAGTCATAAAACTCGACTCCTGGTTTTGCTCCTGGGGCTCCTCACCACTGTTTCAGAAGAAGAAAATAATGAAAGTAACAAGTGAACCAGCTTTAAAAGGTGCAGTGTGTTCAGTGGCATCTAGTGGTGTAGCTGCAGATTGCAAATCTCTCACTACACCCTCCCCTTCCAAATGTGAAGGAGAAACTACGGCGGCAGCAAGAAATGCGAAAAACATGAACGCCCCTATCTAGAGCCAGTGTTTTTTCCTACATTCAGATGATTGATCTACCAATAGAGCTTCCTAAATGTTACACACTGTACCTTTTTTTTTTTTATAAGTGCTGTACAGTTGATCTAATTTACACCAATATGAAGAGTGGTCCATGTGAATTTCAAAAAAGTGCCTGATATATATTTATCCGCAAGTCTAAACTGGCATGTAATCAAGAAAACTTTACAGTGTTATATTTTAACCGGAATTTAGTGTGGTAGCAGAAGAGCAAGATGCAGACCTCTTCACTTTCACTCAAAACAGAACTGGATCAGTACTCATATCAGCCTGTCCTAAGCCAAAGAGGAAAAAAATGGCTTTAAAATAAGTCATGTACATGACAACTTGACACAAGACTGATGCCCTCTATGAGAAATGTCTTAAAGGCCATCTTTTACGGTCTAAATGTAATTTTAATGGTCCAATTCTTGAATTGAAAATTATCTTAACATTAATGAATCACTTGAATATACATTAACCTCTTCAATCACCTCTAGCAGTGGTTTCCAATCTGGCGGTTGAGACCCTGACTAGGGTTCACCAAAGCTTCACAGGGGGTCACAAGGACTTCTTAATTTTAAAGGGGTGTAAGAAAATGTAAAATATACACAGTAAGCCCATATCTCAGCATTCATTTAATTCTGTGAAGAAAACTAAATTAATTTGATTTTTTAAAAGTTTAGTTTATTATTTAAGATCTAAACACTGAAGACCTGAACACAAGCTATATTCACAGCAGGGGTGTAAGAAAATATTGAATATTGATAGTGAGTTCTTTATACGATTCAAGTTTTCCTAAAATTAGATTTAAATTTAAAAAGAAATAATAAAAAAAATCACAATATATTGCCTTGCTTGCGGTATCACAATAAATCGAATCGTAACCCCTGTATTGTGATACGTATTGTATTGCCAGATTCTTGCCAATACACAGCCCTAATTCACAGAACCTTCACTCTCTGGTGAACAACCTAAAAATAGTATGCAGTTAGAACAACCAAAGAGCTAACAATGAGAAGGAAATTCTGAATCTGTCAAAACAGAAGCCTGTTAAGTATTGTTTAACAAAAAAAAAAATCACCAATGATGCAATGTTCACAGGAAATGATCTGTTCAAAATGTCTCCAACTCACTCATTTTACACAAACTCCCTGCAGTTACTGTGATTGGTATTACATTCATTGTACAGTTGATCAGTTTGTCTGTACTGCTATTGTTATATATATATATATATATATATATATATATATATGTCTCTTAGTCAGGGGTCATCAGTTTACTCAACGATAGAAAAGGGGTCCCTTAAGGAAAATGGATGGGAACCACTGATCTAGGCTATATAATGATATAACAAAAGAATAAAATTAGCAGCAGACTTTTGAACTAGCCTATAACGCTAACAATTGGAAAATACTTCTCCATTTAATTAAGTCACTCAATGCTTCAAACTGTCCAGCATCCAGACTAAAGGCTGTTTTTGTTCCATACAATGATCACTTTGTGAAACAATAATTACAGTGTTTGAATGTTTAGCACTGAAAGGGTTTTGATAATTTTCCCTTTTTTTTTTTTTTTTTTTTTAATAATAAACATAGAAATTCCTACGGACCCCCTGCAATTATATCAAGTGACATGTCATTTAACACAATGCTGCTCACCTCCTCCTTCAGCTGGGAGTAGGGCTGGTTCATTGGTAGGGGTGTGGGGATGCGGACACACGGCTGCCGGGCCTGAAGCTGGGCAGGGACAACTGATTCAGTATGTATGAATATGTATTCAGTATGACTAGCTGGCTAAATGTTCGCCTGCGTTGAGTTAATGTCGGCTAAAAGAGGAGAAAAATGCTAACCCTAACCCTTTTTCTGTTAAGATACTTACGTTAAGTTACGCTAACTAATGTTGGGGGGGGGTAATGTAGCCTATTTCACTTTAAACTAAGATAGCAGGTTAATTTTCACCACTCACGGACTCCACCCACC